TTGTGCATTTGTGGTATTAATACTAGGGTTAGTTTGTATATGAGTGTGTTTCTGCATAGCTGTGTTTGAGGACATTCATCTAAAACAACAAACAAACCCTTTCAACTTTTCTAAAACGCACAATGAGTTGTCGCCAGTGTACCAATGAATGGACACAATAAAGAATTTGCATCAAACCAATAGAAAAAATAACAAAGGGGAAACTCTAAAGTAAAAGTACTTCAAATTCTTACTTAAGTACAGTACTTAGTGTATTTCAACCATGGCTTTTGAGTACACCTTTGTGCATTTGTGGTATAAGTACTAGGGTTAGGGTACGTTTGTATGTGAGTGTATTTCTGCATGACTGTGTTTGAGGACATTCATCCAAAACAACAAACAAATATCCCAGCATGTGTTTATCCTTTTAACTTTTCTTAAACGCTCAAAGCTTTGTAAAGGATTTGCCGCCTGTGTTCAAATGAATGGACACAATAAAGCAGAGGCATCAAACGAATGCATGTCGTCTGAGTCTGTGAACCCGGACAGACGAGATGAGACGAAACACAGAAAAGCTTGTTTCTTATATTTTTAGGAAGCAGGCTGCGGGGAAATTATAATCTTTTAACACGGAGGCATACAGTGTTTTCTACATTGCACACATATTGCATGATGCTTACAAGTAGCGTGATGAAATACACTTTATTTAATGTGTTCCTCCACTTTGATATCCCAATTATAACTTCTCATTACTATACTTCCTGTCATCTGATCTAACAGCCTAGCTGAGAAGAGCAGTAGCAGCACATCTGATCTAACAGCCTAGCTAAGAAGAGCAGTAGCAACATGTGATCTTGCTGGAGATGGATATACTCTTTGATTTCTTCATCATAGAGATGACAAGAGTGTTGGGTGTTATTGCTAATCTGATGAAGGACAGGAAGCAGCTGCTATCTTAATTGGAGATACTCAACTAATATTTGGAATAACGAGTAATCAGTGATGATATTTTGAAGGATGTCGTTACTTACAATTTTAATTTATTTAGAAACTATTTTTGGCCCATTGGGGGTTTGGAATAAGTGTCCATTAAAACATAACACCAGATATTTCTGTACTTATTTTGTAAGTGCATCAGATCAAAATGTGATGGTTTGAATAAGTTTGTTAAGGTCATACAGTTCATATTGAAAGAAAGGAGAGGACTCTTTAAAGTAGAGACACTACATACTGATATACACCTGAACATCAGCAGGAGAGCACTCTTTAAAGTAGAGACACTACATACTGATATACACCTGAACATCAGCAGGAGAGGACTCTTTAAAGTAGAGACACTACATACTGATATACACCTGAACGTCAGCAGGAGAGGACTCTTTAAAGTAGAGACACTACATACTGATATACACCTGAACATCAGCAGGAGAGGACTCTTTAAAGTAGAGACACTACATACTGATATACACCTGAACATCAGCAGGAGAGGACTCTTTAAAGTAGAGACACTACATACTGATATACACCTGAACATCAGCAGGAGAGGACTCTTTAAAGTAGAGACACTACATACTGATATACACCTGAACGTCAGCAGGAGAGGACTCTTTAAAGTAGAGACACTACATACTGATATACACCTGAAAATGAGCAGGAGAGGGACTCTTTAAGTATGAGGTTTAAAGATTCATATCAAGTGTGGTAATTTATCATTAGCCGGTGAAATGCAGGTTTGTAGCTCCAGGCTCTGAGTTATGGTGCAATAATTCGTCTTTGTGTTGCTGGACCTTCCTTTCTGCCTCAGGGCTTCTGTTGCATTGTGGTCTCATGGGAGTAATGACTTAATACTAAGCAATGCCTTGTGAGGGTGGACTCCTTTAAACTTAGATATGCTGTCAGGATGCTCCTATTGAAGATTACTGCAGGCAGAGTTTGGTTTAGACTGAGAACGCATGACCAGTGGATGAACTCGTTTCAACCATAACAAGTTTTTGTTATGGTTGAAACTTTATAGAGTCCTCTCCTGCTGATGTTCAGGTGTATATCAGTATGTAGTGTCTCTACTTTAAAGAGTCCTCTCCTGCTGATGTTCAGGTGTATATCAGTATGTAGTGTCTCTACTTTAAAGAGTCCTCTCCTGCTGATGTTCAGGTGTATATCAGTATGTAGTGTATCTACTTTAAAGAGTCCTCTCCTGCTGATGTTCAGGTGTATATCAGTATGTAGTGTCTCTACTTTAAAGAGTCCTCTCCTGCTGATGTTCAGGTGTATATCAGTATGTAGTGTCTCTACTTTAAAGAGTCCTCTCCTGCTGATGTTCAGGTGTATATCAGTATGTAGTGTCTCTACTTTAAAGAGTCCTCTCCTGCTGATGTTCAGGTGTATATCAGTATGTAGTGTCTCTACTTTAAAGAGTCCTCTCCTGCTGATGTTCAGGTGTATATCAGTATGTAGTGTCTCTACTTTAAAGAGTCCTCTCCTGCTGATGTTCAGGTGTATATCAGTATGTAGTGTCTCTACTTTAAAGAGTCCTCTCCTGCTGATGTTCAGGTGTATATCAGTATGTAGTGTCTCTACTTTAAAGAGTCCTCTCCTGCTGATGTTCAGGTGTATATCAGTATGTAGTGTCTCTACTTTAAAGAGTCCTCTCCTGCTGATGTTCAGGTGTATATCAGTATGTAGTGTCTCTACTTTAAAGAGTCCTCTCCTGCTGATGTTCAGGTGTATATCAGTATGTAGTGCATTCTTTCTCCCTTATGGTCAGTAAAATCAGTGCCATAATAACATTTGCTCGCAGCAGACTGACAGTGTGTTTGTGTGTGTGTGTGTGTGTCTGTGTCTTTGGTTTGGAGACAAAGTGTTTCTGTTCTGCAGCACGAGGAGCTTTTGTTCAGCAGGCGATGCTAATCTCTGATTCCTCTCTCTGTGTTTCCACTCTGCTGCTGAGTAATTGCTGCTTAAACAGTCACCGTGTACACTGATTAGTGGCAGCCCACAGGCACAGGCTTAATGACACACACACACACACACACACACACACACACACACACACACACACACACACACACACACACACACACACACACACACACACACACACACACACACACACACATACACACACACAGTGTTTACATTACATTACCTCCTGCTTCATCCTGTGTTTCATGACAGTGACCAGGAGTGTGATGTAACTAAGTACATTTACTTAAGTACTTTTGGTATATTAAGTATTTTGTATATGTTTCAAATACTTTGATGACAAAAGTTATGTAATTAAAAAATATGTTTTTGTATAAATAATAATTATACATAATACTACATAAATATATAATATAATATATATCATAATTCATATAATAAGTAGTGTATCAAACAATGACATAATAATAATAATAATAATATATTAAATAATGTATAATATTAATTGTAAGGTGTTGAATCCAGGGCGTTAACTTTGAACAGAGTATTTCTACTTTTACGTGATTAAAGGTTCTGTGTTCCTTTTCAAACACTGACAGTCACACACACACACACACACACACACACACACACACACACACACACACACACACACACACACACACACACACACACACACACACACACACACACACACACACACACACACACACACACACACACACACACACACACACACACACACACACGTGTTCTGATAGTTACATGATGAAGAACATGCAGACAGGGATCAGGCCCTCGACACCTTTAATCATCAGCATCAGTGTGTGTGTGTGTGTGTTAGAGTTGTGTAAACTGTTTATTACATGGAGATGAAAGGCCTCATGCTGGTGTCTGGGTGTTTCACAGCTCTCACACACACACACACACACACACACACACACACACTCCATCGCTCCCAGCAGCTCTCTTCTCCCTGTTGATAATTACAGATACTTGTTATAGATGTTGGATTTACATCCTCTGTCATATTCAGCTTTTATCTCCCTGCCTCCTGTTCTGTTCTCGTCTGTCTGCTCTGTGTTTCTCTCTCTCACACACACACACACACACACACACTCACACACACACACACACACGCACACACACACACACACACTGCTGAATACGCCTGCCACTGTCTGCTCAAAGCCCCGGCTGCCACTCACATCTACATCAAACAACCAGTGTGTGTGTGTGTGTGTGTGTGTGTGTGTGTGTGTGTGTGTGTGTGTGTGTGTGTGTGTGTGTGTGTGTGTGTGTGTGTGTGTGTGTGTGTGTGTGTGTGTGTGTGTGTGTGTGTGTGTGTGTGTGTGTGTGTGTGTGTGTGTGTGTGTGTGTGTGTGTGTGCGTTGCGTGCGTGCGTGCGTGCGTGCGTGCGTGCGTGCGTGCGTGCGTGCGTGCGTGCGTGCGTGCGTGCGTGCGTGCGTGCGTGCGTGCGTGCGTGCGTGCGTGCGTGCGTGCGTGCGTGCGTGCGTGTGTTTGAAAGGACAGATTTGTCATATTTGAATGGGGTTTTGCCGCCTGCATATTTCCCTTCCTCAGCAGGTGTTGCTACTGGAGTTATATAAAGTTATTTCTGTTTAAAAAAAAATGTAAAACACGTAACTGTGCTTCAAATTCACCGAGTACGATACCAAGAGCTGTTGAGATTCAGGTTATGCAAACGCTTTTAAACAATGTGTTGAATGGTGCTTAATATACATGTTGTTTCATACTATTAACAGAACAGAACAGCAACCTCAGTTTGAATTTTTAAAAGTAAATCACATTTGGCTTTTAATTTGGGGCAATTGTATTTATTTAGTAGTATCTCTGTTCATGTTGTATTGTTTTATCGTTCAGTGATATAACTAGTTTGGTTTGGTTATACCTTGTTAATGTAATTTTCTGTCCTACTCTGTAAAGCACTCTGGGCTGCGTCAAGCATGAAAGGTGCTATATAAATAAAGTGTATTATTATGAACTGTCTTTTTACTGTCTATTGTCTCTTGTTGAATTTGTTGCACATCATTTTATTTGTTATTTATTAACCTCTCTCTCTCTCTCTCTGTGTGCAGCCGGACGAGCTGACCAACGCTCTGGAGATCAGTAACATCGTGTTCACCAGCCTCTTCGCTCTGGAGATGCTGCTCAAGGTTTTAGTCTACGGGCCGTTCGGATACATCAAGAACCCGTACAACATCTTCGACGGCATCATCGTGGTCATCAGGTGAGGACTTCATAAAATCACTTTGGAAACAGGGCTGAAACAGAGGGGATTATGGGTAATGCTGCAATGATCTGTTTGGTGTTTCAGCCAATCAGAGACAGGCTCTGTATATATCTGAGACCTGTGATATATTGATGAGAAACAGTGTAATCGGAGACCTTTAAGAGTTTCCTCCACAACATTGGGTAAAGTGAAAATGGAATACATTAATGGACTTGATTCCCCCTGGTTCCCCCCTCAGTGTGTGGGAGATCGTGGGTCAGCAGGGCGGGGGTCTGTCGGTGCTGAGGACCTTCAGATTGATGCGGGTTCTGAAGCTGGTTCGCTTCATGCCGGCTCTGCAGAGACAGCTGGTGGTTCTGATGAAGACCATGGACAACGTGGCCACCTTCTGCATGCTGCTGATGCTCTTCATCTTCATCTTCAGGTAGGTCAGGGAGAGGGAGCAAACTAACATTCAGTTTTAAGGCCCAATGGAGGGCAACATCCATATGATACATGTTCACGTAAATATTTATATTTTTCACAAGTACCTTCAAACTGAATTTGGGTTTGACGTGGCTTTCTGAGCTTTTACGCATCACATTGTGGAATTTCACCATTGCACATCTTTCTATATAGAGGGAGGGAGATTTGATTAAACGTAATGTGAGCTTTGGAGTTGTTAGTCACCACATTTTCTTTGTTTTGGACAGGGCTAAGCTAACTGTATCTCCATGCTTCCAGTCTTTATGCTAAGCTAATCACCTCCTATCTCTCGCTTCACACTTCTTCTCATCTTCCATTGAAATAAACCACATATTGTTGATCTATTGCTTCTCCAAAGTAGTTTAAACACCCTTTCATTCAAAGGATATTGTACCTTTTTTCTAATGCCAGTGATATTTGAATGAGTGTCATTGACGTGTGTGTCGCTCTCCATGGTGCTGAACTTGGCAGGATCACTTCATTTCCACTTTATTTATTTATTTATTGTTATTCTAACCTTTTATGCTTTTAACTTTTTTTATATTACCATATTTTACTCAATATGTTCCTTTGATAACTTTTGAATGTATTGTATTTTCTCCTTCCTCATAGCATTGACGTTGTTTTTAAAGGGTGCTACAGTATATAAATAAAATGTGTTATTATTATTTTTTTTTTTTGCAACATTACCGCCTAAATGCATTATGGGTCACCTCACCTGTTTATTAACCAACAACTGTTCATTACCTGAGAGAATATACAGTATGGTGTTTTATTAGTGCATGCTTTCAGTCCCCTGGGCAGTAATTAGCATCACGTTAGCTCAGTGTTTCTGCCTAGGTGTGATCAGTGCGCTGGAGTCACAACAAGTTCCTTATTTCCGTTTTTATTTGTATTGTTTCTGATGGGTTGGAAGTAAACACTCCTGCTTCCTGTTTCTCTCTCTCTCTCTCTCTCTCTCTCTCTCTCTCTCTCTCTCTCTCTCTCTCTCTCTCTCTCTCTCTCTCTCTCTCTCTCTCTCTCTCTCTCTCTCTCTCTCTCAGTATCCTGGGGATGCATCTGTTCGGATGTAAGTTTGGATCCGAGGATCTGGCGAATAAAGACACGATGCCGGACCGGAAGAACTTCGACTCGCTGCTCTGGGCCATCGTCACCGTCTTCCAGGTGAGAATGAACACGATTCACCTGCAAGGGGGGTTAACGTGTCCCCACCCCCTGTGTGACTACCCGATTTGCATCTGCCATTTTGGATAGCTACGTACGGCAACCGAAATAGGACATTTGACGTCCGTACTGATCTGAGTTTTGTTCTTGAATCAAACTTTTTTTATGAAAAGTTATTTCCCTTTTCCAGAAATCTCAACAGAAAAAGTTTGTCCGTCCAGACTTATACATTTTTAATGTTAAATAAATGAAAACAATTCACAGTTAAGAATTAGATATTAATTATGAATGCCATAAATGATTGCACACATTTACAGTTTCTTATTGTTCCAGCGTGAAGGCTGTCAATCAGAAGTTAAATCCATGTCTCACTTATTCTAAGAATGTACTTTACCCACCAAAAGGAGTTCTTAAATAATCTGGGATTACGTTGTAAAAACAACAACTCATCTCTCGTTCAGATTAAAGCGGTCGGGTTGTTTTTCTTCTTTGCGAAACGCCACTGTGTCAAATGTCCCACTTGGGTTGCCGTACGTAGCGGTCCAATATGGAGGATCAACTCGCGCTGCGCAGTGATAGTCGGGCAGACTCACCCTGCCTTAAACGCCTCCATTGGACTCCTTTGTTTACTTCCTGAATATGGTGACATCACTACGTACCACTCCCGCTTCTATTGGCTAGCACTCCAACACATTGAATAATAATAATAATAATAATAGTTCACATTTTTATAGCGCCTTTCAAGGGACCCAAGGCCGCTTTACATGGTGTGTAAAGCTGCACCCCCCTTCCGTTTAACCACCATGGGGTCCAGAGCCTTCAGCCGCTCTGCACCCCGCCTCTGGAACTCTCTCCCACCTGACATCCACAACACTGACTCTCTCCCCATTTTCAAATCACGTCTCAAAACACATCTCTTCACACTCGCATATTAAATTACATCACACATCACTTGTTAGACGCTTTTATCCAAAGTGACTTACATACTCAATACTGTGGGCAATCCCCACAGGAGCAATTTGGGGTGAAGTGTCTCAGGGACACAACGACATGCTGACTGCAGTGGGGTTTGAACCTGTGACCCCCTGATCCCAACACCAACGCTCTATCCACTGCGCCACACGCCACACGCTACACGCGACCTTGAGAGCCTTGAAAGGCGCCTATATAAAAGAAATGCATTATTATTATATATATACCGTATATACAGGGTACGGTATATATACTGTTTGTTAATATACTAATACGTTGGTTTATAATGGGGTATTCTAATGTATTGTTTGTAAATGGTTTGTATTTGTTTGTGTACTGAATATAATAATAATAATAATAATAATAATAACTCTATTTATACAACACTTTTCAAAACAACGTCACAAAGAACTTTACATTATATTGTTTGTATGTAAGCATTTAGATACTCAATATATGATGTATTTATTACATTTTTTAACTGTTGATTTGTACATAGTTACTGTTTAACCTAATATAATGTAATCATATTTTAATATATTGTATTTATTATATTATATTCATGAGCACACGCTGCGGCAAAAAAACAATGTTCCGTTTTGGGGTCTCTAAACTACATCTAATGTAATGTAATTGAATCCTGAAGGCTCGCTCATGTACGTAGCATCTGGAAGCTTGAAGTCCCTGTTTTTTTTTTTTTATTAATCAAAATTATGAAGTGCCCTTGAGCAACATCTCAACGTCTTCCTGCTCCACTGCTGCTAACTCAACGTGTCCCCATTCAGAGTCTGAAAAAAAGACAATTTTCCTCGTGAATAAATAAAATATATCAAATCAAATATTCCCTTTCACTCCGTCGTCCCCGCCCTTCTTCTAGTTCCCTCATTTCTCTCCCTGTCCACGTCTCTAACATAGGTTAAGTAGGTCTGCCTCGTGCGTCGTGTCACATTAGATTAGTGATCTGTTCTGATCCATTATCTGCACAGTATTTATCACTCTTAATATAGCTCCCATCTATAATTCAGAGGAACATCTGATCGGGGATGATGTGAAGTGTCAGCGTGTCTCTCTGCGAGGAATATTTTACTGACATGTCTGATGTCATGATGTCGCACATGGAGGCTTTCATGAAGCTTCACTGATCTGCAGTGTGTGTAGAGAGCAGCAGGAATGAGTCCTAAAACACTGAAATGGGTTAGCATTTGAGCTGCTTTCCTCCTTTTGAAGTCCATGGTTTTCAGGTTAGATGACTGAAATGCGATGAGTTGTTATCACACACATTCCGACCTTTTTTTGTCACAGAAACGTGCGTAATGCTAACTTCATGGGGAAGCGTGTGGTGCAGTGGGTAGTGCGTTGGTGTTCGGATCAGTACACAATACGTTAGAATACCCCATTATAAACCAACGTATTAGTATATTAACAAACAGTATATATACCGTACACTGTATATACGGTATATATATAATAATAATGCATTTCTTTTATATAGGCGGCTTTCAAGGCTCTCAAGGTCGCGTGTGGCGTGTGGCGCAGTGGATAGAGCGTTGGTGTTCGGATCAGGGGGTCACAGGTTCAAACCCTACTGCAGTCAGCATGTCGTTGTGTCCCTGAGACACTTCACCCCAAATTGCTCCTGTGGGGATTGCCCACAGTATTGAGTATGTAAGTCGCTTTGGATAAAAGCGACTATCAAGTGACATGTCATGTAATGTTCATGCTTACAAACAATAAGTTGATGCTGTTGTTGTGCTCTTTAGTCACACAACTATTACTTGTCTTCTTCTTGTGTTCTTTAAGATGAAAAAGCATGTGGTGCTTAGAGTGTATTCATGTTTTTTAGCAGATAAATACATGATAGATACTTGCCAGGAATTAAAATTCATCAACCTGCAATATCATAGAATTTTAGGTAATAATACAACCACATTGTAGAGTCCATGCTAGCTTAGCTTGCTAGCTACAACTGATACAAATCTGTTAGCGACAGCTGTCACTTCAGCTGCTCAAATCCCTGTATCTGGCTCCAAGTAAGTCGACATTTGATGTTGCTTTTGTTTGAGATGAAGGACTTTAAAACAAACCAAGATATTGAAAAGGAACCATCATTAGCAACGTAAACAACACGCATGAACAGAATATAATTGGGACGAGGCTAAGCTAACAGGCAACTATCAAACAAACACGAGTAAACAAATGCTAAACAATGTTGTGCTTTAATCCTTTCCCCCCCCCCCTCTCTTTCAGATCCTCACCCAGGAGGACTGGAACAAGGTGTTATATAACGGCATGTACTCCACCACTCCTGTAGCCGCGCTCTACTTCATCGCCCTCATGACCTTCGGGAACTACGTCCTCTTCAACCTGCTGGTGGCCATCCTGGTGGAGGGTTTCCAGACGGAGGTAAAATGTGGCTGCTCAACCACTAACTAAACTAAATAGAGCTGAAATAACGCGGGAAAAAGCTTCGTCTTCAGGGATATTCTGAATACAAATCAGTCATAACATTAAAAAACAAGAATTAAATCTATATTTGTAATTTTTTTGTTTTAATGCAGATCAACTTGTTGACATTGTTTCTAGTTCTTAAAACTAATTATTTCTCTAAAAGGTGAAAGTCTAAGTTGAGATATTGAAACAAGTGCTGCTAGTTTTTGTTTAGAAAGAGACTGAAACTGGTGACTAAATGACTCAAAGACGTGCTATATTTTCTGTGCGAGCTCACATAACACTAATGGATGTATTTTCACGCCCATGCATACTTAACGATGTCATACAGTGTGTGTGCATTAACCTGTAGCTTAGCGCTCCTTGCACTCTCTGCGGCGGGTTATTTGAGGACATGAGAGCTCACTTTTTTCCTCTCTTCATCTTCACCTCGCTGTCAGCCTCTTCTCCTCCCACTCGTTCCCACTATCTCAGCAGTCGTCCTCATTATTTATCTGCTTTTTCCCAATGAAGTCAGGCCGCATCATGAGGAAACTATGTCTGCTCCACTCTCATCTTATTCTTGTTCTCTTTTTTTTTGTACCTGGTTTAGTTTTTGTCTTATTTCAACCCATTCTCACGGCATTTCGTGTTATAGTCACGAAATTAATGTAATCTATTGATTCGTGTTCACCAACACGATTTTCGCATTTTTTTCGTGTCACACAGAACGATTTTAAAAGCAATGTATTTCTATTGGTAGTATGTTTCGTGCCTGCACCACGTCTTTTTGTCCGGTCGGGTCTTGGAAGACCGGAAGCTGTGTGGTTCATAAAAACATGTTCTTACTCAATATCTTACCCTAAGCCTAACCCTATCCCTTTTATTTTAAATTGTATAATGTCGGAGTTTACAGTATTTGCCATCCGCGAGGAAAATAAATGGCTCAGAGCCTCAGAATACTGACATCTGTATTTTTTTAAATGTCTTTTTCCTTCTAATTTGTTATTATTTACATTGCTTTTAAAATCGTTCTGTGTGACACGACGAAAATGGGGAAATCGTGATGGTGAACACGAATCAATAGATTAATTGCTAAATGAAATGTAATGTAATGTAATTTCGTGACTATAACACAAAATGCCGTGAGACCGTACTGCTTATTTGCGCAGGTGTAGGCTAAAGGTTGCAAAATCTGTGAAAGCTGTGCAATCCTTTTGTGATCTCACATCTCACTTTGGAAACACTGCTAATGACTCATTAAGATTCAAAAGACATAAACAAAAAGAAACAACAGGTGGCGATTAATGCTAATGCTAAGAAGCTAGGTTAGCTATCTGTCTTTTTCCCATTTCTCTTCTTGTTCTTTTTTTTGTGAATGGTTCATTTTGTGTCTTGTTTGTGCAGGTGTACAGGTTGCAAAAGCTGTGCAATCCTTTGTGAATTTACATCTCACTTTGCAGAAGCTGCTAATGACTCAATATGTTTCAGGTGGCGAATAATGCTAATGCTGAGAAGCTAGGTGAACTTGCTAGGTTAGCTAGCCGGCTTTTTCACAACGTAGTTCTTGTTATTTTGGATTTCTGGTCTGCAGAATTTGCAGACTATTGATCTGTTGTTTTTCAAACTCATTCTAAGACATACCCTGAGCAAAAGCTTGTAACGACTCAACCGGTTTCAAAATACATAAACAAAAATAATCAATTGGCTAATGCTAAGAAGCTAGGTTAGCTATCTGTCTTTTTCCCATTTCTCTTCTTGGTCTCTTTTTTTTTGTACCTGTTTTATTTTCTGTCTTATTTGTGCAGGTCTACAGGTTGCAAAAGCTGTGCAATACTTTTGTGAATTCACATCTCACTTTGCAGAAACTGCTAATGACTCAATACGTTTCAAACAACATAAACAAAAATAAACAACAGGTGGCGAATAATGCTAATGCTGAGAAGCTAGGTCCACTTGCTAGGTTAGCTAGCTGTCTTTTTTCGCACCTTACTTCTTGTTCTCTTGGATTTCCGCTCTGCAGAAATAGCAGACTGTTGATCTGATATTTTTCAAACTCATTCTAAGACATAGTCTAAGCAGAAGCTGGTAACGACTCAACCGGTTTCAAAATACATAAACAAAAAGAATCAATTGGCTAATGCTAAGAAGCTAGGTTAGCTATCTGACTTTTTCGCATTTCTCTTCTCGTTCTTTTGGATTTCTGGCCTGCAAATTCACCATTTTAGTTTTACAATCATCTGTATATTGTATTGTCTTAATTTCAGCTGCAGCAGGCACAAACAATCTCTATTTACCCACTTGTTCAAACCAACAACCACACATAATCTGTGCTTTGTCCACATCCTCTGTATCGCCTTCACCTTCTCTTCTTGTAATTCTCCCCCCTGATCTTTCCCCTGCTTTGTACAACTGTTTTTATGTCATAAAACAAAAGTGATGTGTCCTCCGTATCCACATTGTGTTTGTGCTTCTTCTCTAAGACAGGATAATGCAGGAAACTGATATTGTTAAGAGACAGCAGCTGGGAAAACAGAGTCCCTGAGCGTTTTATGGGGAAGCAAAGAAGTTGAAACTTATTGAGCCCATTCGGAGCACACAGGGCTTTATTTAAGACGGATATAAAGAAAGGAAGAAATGGAGAGAGTAAATCTCCAGCTGTCTACTTGTCTCATTTATTTCCTTCTGTAAGGGGTGACAGCACCTTTGCTTTGATCTCCGGCGCTCTTTGGCCCTCTTGTCGAGAGCAGGGAGAAAAGACCAAGAGAGGTTGACAGCCTCATCAAATATGGATTAATTTCAATGGGCTTCTCCTCCTCTTGCGTTTATCTGCTGTTAAAAATATCAAGTGCATGACTATAAGGGAATGCACTCTCATAGGAGGAGGGAGACAATGACCAAAGCTGCTTTAAATGGAGGCTTTACATGCAGCGTAAGACTGCAATTAATGTATTTATGGCGTCTTACTGACATTAAAGTTAGGTTTTGCTAAGAATGTATAGCTTTTCTCCCTTTCTGGCTTCAATTGATGGTCCCAACTGACGTGCAATTAGCACTGATCTTGGCTAATTTGCATAGGAAGGGGCCAATGTTGCGCTAAATGCTATATTACCTCATTCAAATATGTGCTAATAGTATATAGGAACACCGAAGCGCTATTTGCTTTGCAGTGCGGTTAGTTGTTGAATGTCACCTGTTGAGGGTGCTTTGAAAATTACACAATGACGTAGATTGATGAGGAAAAGAACAAGATAACAAGAAGAAAGATGAAATAAGCTGGTTCGTTAACGTAGCTTCTTAGCGTTAGCATTTTTTGTATCTTTGTATATTTTTTGTCTTATTTTTGCAGGTTTAGTGTTTGCAAAAGATTCAGAAGGTTTTAAAAAGACATAATAATACTAAGAAGCTCAACTAGCTATATTTTTAGCACACACACACACACACACACACACACACACACACACACACACACACACACACACACACGTAGCATCCCTTTAAGGTCTGTAGACTCTGCTTTGTTCTCCTGTTTCATCACAGAGCTGTCGGCTTGATCCCCCCCCTCTCTCCCTTTCTCAAGTTAACATCCCTAAGTTTATTTTTAGTCGGCCAAACTTTCCCTGCGTCAGAGTTGCTTGGTAACGGGCGCTTCAATGAGGTGATGCTAGTCAGGAGACACACACACACACACACACACACACACACACACACACACACACACACATACACACACACACACACAGACACACACACACACACTCACACACAGTGCCACTATTGTTTCTCTTCTGAAGTCCATATTGCTTTTGACACAAAGGCAGAGGGGGAAACCATGTGATGGCGGTGTTGTGTCATTCTTTGTTCTGCTTTTATTTGGTCTTGATTGACCTCCATCCTCCCTGTCTTCCTCTCTGTAACAGAATCTAATATCCGCTGCAGAGAGTGCAACACCCATCTGGTTTCTTTATGGAGAACTATTAACAGCAGAGAGACAACAAAAGCCATTTTTCTTTTTTACTACACCTTTCACTTTGACAATAACCATACATCTCACACAACAACATGCACGACTTACACCCAGCGCAGGAATGCTTTAACGTTTGTGTCGAGATCATTTCCATCCCTGCTTTCTGACCGAATGTTCATCCATCAGTGGACCAATGGAGGGTACAACATGGCTGTGCTCGTCTCCTCTCTGCTGTCTTCACTGTTCATCCGATTTCTTTATATTCAAAGGTTTCATTGTCACATGCACGAAAGCAGCAGCGTAGTATAAGTCCCAGGCTCCTCCAACAATGTACTTATGGCGTACAAATATATAGAAATAGTGCAAGATATTGGCGCAAGGGATATACAACTTGTACTTTACTGCAAAAATACCCTGTAACAAGTAACATTCATGCACTTATAATCTTACTTAAAGTGGACCTATCATGCTATATTATAATAATATAGTGTAGGACCATACCTATATAAGGCATATTTATACTTTAAAAAAAAAAAAATACCAAACAGATCATGCATTTTAGCCATGCCTCATTTTGCTCAATTTGACATTTTTTAGATCTGTTTTGGCAAGGGCTGATTCAGTGAGAACAGCACCATCTACTGGCCTGGCATTTGTACTACAGCGTCTCCAGCGCTTTCGAACGGCAATGGCCGTGGCTGTCTCCTCCTGATTGGTGGAGTTGGCCCAATAGCCGTAGCGCCACCGTCCTGACGTCAGGACAGTGTTCAAATCTGGATCAGTTTTTATCAGATCCGTTGCAGCCCCTTTTTTAGAGATTTGGGTATGGAGGAAAATAGAGAGGGTTGTGTTTTCTGACACTTGGTGAGTTCCCTGGAACACCGGGGACACATATTCATGTATAAAAGACGTACAAAAGTGCATTTTGCATGATAGGTCCCCTTTAAAGTACACAAAGTACTTATTGTGCATAATGGCACATTTCTGAGTTATTATATATTACATTACT